TACAAAAATCATTTCTCTTATTTTAAAAGAGAGAATCTGCTGTATTTCCGCTTGCTAGCTGATTTTGGATGATGATTTTGGAATTGAAGATCGGACTAATATATAAGTTGGTTAAGAGTAATGAGATGGAAATAATTTATTTAGACAATTTTTATTTATAGTTTTTACATGTTATTATAAATATATATAATATTATAAATTTTAAGAAGATAAAAGAATTAATAATTAAATAATATATAAAATTACATAAAAATTATACATAATACATTGTCTGTTAATAATTTTTTTGTTAGTTAGTTACTCCCACCATTTCATTTTACTAGTCATTTTACATCTTTTTACACCTATTAAGAAATTTATTTAATAACCTCTATTATAGGATTACTTGGTATTAAGTTTGTAGGTTTGTCTAACATGTGTTTTAAAAGTTCAAATTAAATTTTATTAATTATAATATTTATAATTATTTTTTTTAAAGTTTTCATATTAGATTTATATCTTTTTTTAAGTTTTGAGTATAAATATTACATTTAATAAGATTTAACATGTGTTTTAAGGATAAAAGTTAGATAATTCATAAGTCTAATCATTTATCATTTTTTATTTTTAAAAATAGTCCCTTTATTATTGTCAAAATTTATCAAAGATAAATTTAAAAAATTAAAAATTAAGGATGCTTTAAAATATGATAACATAAAAAATATAAAACAAAAATAATTCTCTAAAGCAAATAAGATTTGAAAACAGACGAAGTAGCGTATTTTAATCAAACACATCACCGATTAAAAATTCTTAATATGAGTCATATCCAACATTAAAAGTTGGTTAAAAGACAAACAGAGGATTAACTTTTTTTTTTCCCCTTGAATAACTTAATATTTAAAGTATTTTTATTAAACTATTCTACTTTTTATTTTTATGTTTTTACTAATATATAACGAAAATATTATAATTATGATATTAATTGATATTATAAATTTATAATATGATATATTATTATATAAATAATTTTTTAATTTAAAAATTAACTCATAATATTATATATATTTATTTATTAAATATTACTTTATATTCATTTAATATTATTATGTCACATCATGATTATAAATTTATAATTTTAAATGATGTTATAACTATAAAATTATCAAATATTTAACTCTTTAAAAAATAATATTTTAACTAATAATCATTGTTTTTTAAATTTTATCCTAAATTACCCAAAGTGAGACAAGTAAAAAACAGATAGTATCATTAACACATCAGAACAACTTTCTATTTTAACTGATAATTAAAATTGCAAAAATTGAGTTCCAAATCTGCCTGCCCCTGCCGGCCATCTTTAATATCAAACTCCAACATATTAATTGTTAGATTTTACAAGACGGTTGTGCCTCTGATAGGTGGGATGCATTTATTTTTATTTTATTTTTCTTAATAAAAAGATATATTTAATTTGTACTTTATGCATAAATTAAAATACATTAATTATATTATTTTATAATAAATTTTTATAAAAAAATATAAAAATAAAATATTACTTTTAACATCAATATTATTTTAATAATTTTAATTAAATAGTTAATAATTTTATAAAAAAAATAATTAATATTTTTTTAATTTGTATTTCTATTAAACAAATTTTTAAAAAATTCCTCAAAGTAAATCCAATAAATGAAAACACTCTTAATTAAAAAAAAAAAAGAAGCGAAATATAGGGAAAAAAAAAAAGGAAAAGGAAAAGGAAAACAGAGTCAGTATGAAAAGGTGAAAGTCGTGCGATACCTTTTGCAGCGATTGCGTGTGAAAAGCAGAAAATTGGTTGTAAGGCTAAAAAAACTTTTGGAAGTCCTCTTTTAACCTCATGCTCACCGCCATCCCCTTGCGCGTGAAGTCACTTCGAGTCGGATTTCACCTCCTCTAATCCACCTTGGCCTTTCGGCTTTGTAACCGACCGACTTCGGAAACATGATGACACCACCCGAATGACCGTGAAAGCGTGGAACTAAACCGGTCTTGTCTTAAAATAAAAGGCTAAAAAAAAAAATTTTACTACTAATGGAAGATCACCACGGTCTAACGAAGGTAAAGTTTCTCTCAACCCACTATCTATTCTATGAAGATTTGGAAACATTTTTTTGGTCCGCATCTTGTTGTAGCAAGAATTGTTGCGCTAAGCGGTATCTTTTCCTAAGAATTTTATTTAAATTTTTTGATATATAAAGGGTAGTATTTAAGTACTAATAGAGTCATGTATCATTTTATTATAAAAATTTGGGATTTTAAATTTAAAATTTAGTTAAATGTGAAAAAATTTAAGAAATGAAATAGATATCTCATGTTAACAATTTTTTCGTTCAAAATTAAGACTTTAAATGTTGAAGTTTAATGTTTTAGGTATTAGAACACACCTTATAATGCATACTAGTTCCAAAATTATGGTTCGAGTTTTTTTCTTGTATATGTTAATACAAAATTTTGAATGACTTGTAAAATTTAGTCTTTTTTGGTAATTGTTCTTAAGTGTATATATAAAATTATGAATTGTAATTTTCAACTAAACACAGAGAAAAAAAATGTTACTATAAATCAAGTCTAATTAAAAGTAATTGAAAACTTGTCAATCACATTATAACCCAATAGTAAGAATTTAGTGGTGTGGCATGCAACTCTTACATCGAAACCTGTTTATTAACTGTCATCTCCTTCCTCTTAATTTGTAAATGTAATGTAATTACTTTGTTTAAAGAAAAAAAAGAGAGTAACTGTAAACCTAGAAGTCGAAGTCCCATGACTGTTGGGTTGCGTTATCACTAACGTGTGTGCTTTACTTGTAATCTACATTAAGAAAAACTCTTAAAAAATATATTTAAAAAAAGAAAAAGAAAAAAAACAAAACTCTTACTGTGCCTTCTTTATTTATTTATTTAATTTTTTATTACTATCAAGATGCATTAGAAAAAGTTAAGACAAGGCAACTTTTCAAGGAAATAAAATAAATGAAAAAATGTTATATAAGTAAAAAAATGAAAAGGAGATGACACAAAGAGAAAGCAGATTGCAGTGCCCAGAAAGCATTTTCCAGAAATCCTTGCAACTGATAGTACTTCCAACTCTCCATTTTTCCAGAAATTCTCTCTCTTTACAATAAAACAAACATTTTTCTCTGCACAACCCTAACTAATTCACTTTACTCGGCTTTTTCTATGTTAAAAGAAAGGTAAATTTTCTCAAAAAAAAAAAAAAAAGGGCTGAGACGTTTCCTTTTTATTTCTCATAAAAATTTTAACTTTTTACTTGTTTATTTCATAGCGGACCCTCTCTTGTATTTGGATATTTTGGTTATAGTTGAATCAAATAGACAGGGATAGAAAGAGAGAGAGAGATAGGAAAGAAAAGGAAAAATGGGGAAGGTCTTGTGAAGGAGGGGATCTCGTCTTTCCTTTTCGCGTTGAGTTCTACTTATAGCTTTTTTTTTTCCCTTAATTTTTGTGGGATGGATAGATACTATACAAAAAACCCAACTTGAAAATCATAATTGAAAAGAGAGGATCAAAACAAGGAGTAGAGAAGATAAAATCTGTTTTTTGGTTTGAGTTTGTGAAAAGTTTTTGTTTGTGATTCATTTCAATTTGTCTGTTCTTTAATTTTGTGGCCGGAGCAGTTTTCCGGTGGAGAAGTTGGACATCCGAGTTATCCCACGTTTGTATGAGAGAAAAAGGAAAAGGGGGGGAGAAAAAGAATTGAAATTGGCTTGAATTGTAGAAGATGAGAGCGGGTTTGAGTACGATCCAGCAGACACTGACGGCGGAGGCGGCGACCGTTTTGAACCAGTCGATTGCGGAGGCTAGTCGGAGGAACCATGGGCAGACGACGCCGCTGCACGTGGCGGCTACTCTCCTTGGTTCCCCATCTGGGTTCTTCCGCCAGGCGTGCATCAAGTCTCACCCGAATTCTTCGCATCCTCTGCAGTGTCGCGCTTTGGAGCTCTGCTTCAGTGTGGCGTTGGAGCAGATATCCACCGCCCAGAACGCTAATCCCGGTGTCGACCCACCAATTTCGAATGCGCTAATGGCCGCGCTCAAGCGGGCACAGGCACACCAGCGACGGGGATGCCCGGAGCAGCAGCAGCAGCCGCTTTTGGCAGTTAAAGTGGAGCTCGAACAGCTTATTATATCGATTCTTGATGACCCAAATGTCAGTAAAGTGATGCGCGAAGCGAGTTTTTCGAGTACTGCCGTCAAAGCGACAATCGAACAGTCTCTGAATTCATCAACCTCCACTTCGGCGAGCTCGAGTCCAATCGGGTTGGGGTTCAGGCCGGTGGCTGCAGCCGTGCCTTCTCAAAACCGGAATTCGTATCTGAATCCCAGGTTGCAGCAAGGGACTGCAACGCAATCAGGGCAGCAGAGGAGCGATGAAGTGAAGAGGGTCACGGATATTTTGTTGAGGACTAGGAAGAGGAATCCGGTATTGGTGGGCGAGTCAGAGCCGGAGCTGGTGGTGAAGGAGATTCTGAGGAAGATTGAGAGCAAGGAGATAGGAGATGGGGTGCTGAGAAACGTGGAAGTTCTTCGCTTGGAGAAGGATTTTGCGTTGGACAAATCACAAATGGTGTCGAAAATAAAAGACCTGGGTGACCTGATCGAGGCACGGGTGAGGAATTCAGATTGTGGAGGGGTGATTCTTGATTTGGGGGACTTGAAATGGCTAGTGGAGCAGCAGCAAGTGGGGTTCGGAGTTGGGTCCGGCGCAGGCGGAGGGGTGCAGCAGCTCGTGGTTCCAGAGGCAGCACGGCCAGCTGTCGCAGAGATGGGAAGACTGTTGGTGAGATTCCGAGAGGGTAGCAGCGTCACCAGTGGTGGTGGGAGGGTGTGGTTGATCGGAACTGCTACTTGTGAGACTTACGTGAGATGCCAAGTTTATCATTCTTCAATGGAGAATGATTGGGATCTGCAGGCTGTGCCTATTGCTGCCAGAACACCTTTACCACGAATATTTCCAAGGTATTTTTTATGTTCTTCAATTCTTAGATCAGTTTGATGCTTAAGTTTTGCCTAATTTAGTTTCAATTTATCAGATTCTGATGGAAAATTTAGGTTCTAAATTTGCAAGATTTTTACTTGGATAATATGCTTGAGTTTCACATTGAGATACCAAATTCTGATTTGATTGAATCCATGATATCAAGAAAGAGAAAGGGAAAAAGAAAAAAAGAAAAGAAGAAAGAATTGCTGTTTTTAGAACCTCCATTTCTGCGCCACAATTATATTTTATTCTTGAGAGTTTATTGTGATCTAGTTTCTATCTGTTCCTGTATGCTCTTGTGTTGCTTGCTCTTATTTACTGGCTTACATGGAGCTGACTTTGATGATGCTGCTTTATCTGCCCGGGTGGCTCTTTTGCTTGTGCTACGATTTATTAACATGTGAAGTGCTTGATGTTCAGGCTTGTAACCAGTGGGCTTCTGAGCAACTCGATTGAGTCCTTATCCCCATTGAAGGGCTTTGCAACTGCTCAACCAAGACGTCCCTCTGAGAACATGGATCCTACTCAGAAGATAAGCTGTTGCCCACAATGCACACAAAATTACGATCAAGAGCTAGCAAAGCTAACAGCAGCAAAGGAGTCTGAGAAGTCCTCTTCAGAAGCAACTCAACCAACCCTGCCACAGTGGTTGCAGACTGCTAAGGCCCAGGGAAGTGATGGAAAAACATTGTCTCAGGCACAGGTAAGTGCAGTTAAATGATAGAAACAAAAATATCTCATATTAGATCTTTTGTGGACCCAAAATTTATACAAGCTTATTTTTTGATGCTGTGCTTTACAAAGGATCAAGAGATGATCTGGAAGCAGAAGACTCAAGAGTTACAGAGGAAATGGAATAACACATGCATGCATCTCCATCCTAATTTTCATCAATCCAGTCTAGGCTCTGAGAGATTCGCTTCTCCAGCTGTCTCAATGATGAGCTTGTACAATTCGAACCTGGTTGGGGGTCAGCCTTTCCAACCCAAATTCCAACTGAACACAGTGCAGTTGAACACCAATCTTGTAGCCAGTCAGTCACTCAAAAGGGCAAGTACACCTCCAGGAAGTCCTGTGAGAACTGATCTGGTTCTTGGGCAATTGAAGGTCAGTGAGATTACATCTGATAGAACCCCTAAGGAGAGCACGAGGGACTTCTTAGGCTGCATATCTTCTGAACCTCAGAAGAAGTTCAATGACTTGGCAAGTGATAAGTTGTTAGATCCCGACTCTTACAAGAAGCTCCTTAATGGCCTACTGGAAAGGGTGTGGTGGCAGCAGGATGCAGCGTCTTCTGTGGCTACAGTGGTGACGAGGTGCAAGTTAGGCAATGGAAAAAGGCAGGGTGCTGGATCAAGGGGTGACATTTGGTTGTTGTTTATGGGCCCAGACAGAGTTGGCAAGAGAAAGATGGCATTGGTTCTATCGGAGCATTTATGCAGGGCCAGTCCAGTTACAATCTGTCTCGGTTCAAGACGTGATGATATGGAATCTGATGTGAGCTTCCGTGGTAAAACAGTGCTGGATAGAATAGCAGAGGCAGTAAAGGGGAATCCTTTCTCGGTAATAATGCTTGAAGACACTGATGAAGCAGATACAATAGTTCAAGGTAGCATAAAACGAGCAATAGAGAGAGGACGACTTGTTGATTCACATCATCGTGAGATCAATCTAGGAAATGTTACCTTCATTCTTACTACAAGTTGGCTTCCAGATAATTTGAAATTCTCATCAAATGGTATTTCTCTTGATGAAGAGAAGCTTGCCAGTATAGCAAGTGGCTGTTGGCGGTTAAAGCTATCCCTATGTGAGAAAAGTGCAAAGCGCCGGGCCAGTTGGCTACAGGTTGAAGACAGGACAACAAAATCAAGAAAGGAAACTAGTTCAGGACTCTCATTCGATCTGAATGAGGCTGTTGATGTTGAGGAAGATAAAGCAGATGGCTCCCACAATTCCAGCGACCTAACAGTTGATCATGAAGAAGAACACCGACTCACCAACAGGCTATTATCTAACTCAACATCATCAATATCCAGTGATCTGCTCAATTCTCTAGACGAGGCCATTGTCTTTAAGCCTGTTGATTTTGGTCCAATTAGACGTGACATAGTGAGCTCCATAACAAAAAAATTCTTCAGCATTGTTGGAGACAGGCTACCAATTGAAATCCCGGATGATGCTCTAGAAAAGATCACAAGTGGGGTATGGATAGGCAGGACGGGATTGGAAGAATGGACAGAGAAAGTACTAGTTCCCAGCTTGCATCAACTCAAATCACGAGTACCCACAACATCAGATGAGTCACTGGTTGTTAGGCTTGAACTTGATGATGAATCTGAAAATCCAAGCCATGGCAATTGGCTTCCTAGTAGCATCAAGGTGGCCATTGATAAACTTTAAAGGTTAGTGAAGGGGGAGATACCTGGTATTTTCTTGTGTTGGATAGAGAGATGTAAATATGGTCAACTGTTTTTGGCGGGGTGGGAATGACAGTTTGAGAGGTAAAAACGGTTAGAAGAGGAGATGTTGATAGATTTAAAGGTATTTTCTATTTAGTAGCCATAGAATGTCTCCCTCTCTCCTATTAAACCTAGTACTAGTATTATTATTTGAATTCTTCAGGCCTTTCCATGTTATTAAAAAGAAATTATAGTAAGATTTTTGTCATAGATATATTTATTAATATATCATTACATGGTATGATCACTAATAAAAGATAGAGGCATTCCTCTTGTCCGTCTTTGGTTCAAACAATTCTTCAGTTCCTGTGCCAAAAATGAATTGCTTCTAATAGTGTTTTTTTTTTTTTTTGGTTTCCTTTAAGCAATTAATTTTTTACCCGACTGGGGCAGGGAGAAGGGGATCCTTGAGTGTCGAACACAGGACCTCAGGGAGCGTGACACTTACTTCTCTATTTGCTTATGCTTTCAAATAATAAAAAA